CCTTAAAAAACTGCAAAGTCACTGATTGCCTAAATCTATAACCTCTTTATGCCTATCGAGTGGTCCAGTGTGTGAAATGAGATGGTAGAATCAGATGGACCGTATCTCCAGGAATTGTTGTATACATGTAGTAAAGTGTGAAGAAAATGTTTTAAAATAATTATGCAGCTTCTGATTACAAAATCATGGCTAATTGAAATAGGTTTTGAGACCAGAAGCTAACACTGAACTGAGAGGACTTAACTCTCTGCCCCCTCAGCAGTAAAATCACCATATTCTAGAATGACATTTCTCCCAGAAGCTGCAATCTGTGCCCAGTGCATGTGTAAGTTATATTCTATGTTAAATATCAGAGTCCCTCAAATAAGTTTAGGTAACTAAATGTCACTGATACCTCATGAAAAACAGTGATAAGACTTTGGATCTCTGCTGTTAAGACCCTCCTTATTGAGTGAGGTGTAGCTATGTGACCTAGAGGCTGGTTGTGCTTATAGCATCTTACATTGTCAACTCTCTTCGTGTTTGCCATTCGTAAGCCAGACTCATTTGAGAAGCTGATGCAGGGCTAATCTTAAAGTACCTCAGTTTTCCTGATATCCCAGATCCTTTCAGCCACTCATACATCTTCAGCACCCTACCATCTTGGTGGGTTATCTTTCCTACTCTGTGAGCAAAGATGAAATCACATAATGCTTGGTCCGTCAGCATAGCCTGGTAAAGTTAACCTTTACCAAACCAAAAAGCCTGGCTGTGTGGGTAGACTTGTAGTTATGGTAGGCATCTGTTGCAGAGTACAAGGCTTCTAGACAGAGAAGTTAGTAGAGAAGATGAAATACCATTTTCTTTCAGATCAGCATGATGAGATGACACCAGTAGCAGAACACAGAACTCTGTGCTGTTACTGAGAGCTTTGCAGGTGATAACGGAAAATTAAGCTAGCAAGAAGTCTCAATGCAGATGGGCAAGGTGTCCTATCATAGTGATACTTGTCGAGGGAATTGATTAAAGTTACTTCAAACAGCTTTGGTACAATTCACCAGCTGAAATGTTATCTGTGATTATGTAATCTTGTATGTGTACATGTCATCAAATGAAACTGTCCTTTGTTTTTCTTACATGTGGTATCATATGTCACAGTTTAAATAATTGTAAATTGTAAGGAAATAAGTAAAAGCTGGGGCTAACTAAATGAACAGGAAAACCTGCAAAAGGCGAAATCTTTAAATAAATGTTTCAGACAAGATTTAGGTTACCCTGCTGTGACTGACCTGACTGCTGCTAATGGATCCACATACACTCAGATGCTCTACTCATCTACTCCTCAAAAGGCTAGAAACAAGAAGTTCCTGTTAGGTACTGAATGTTTACTATAACAGGAATTTCACCCAGAATTAATTGCAGGTCAAGAGAGGCAAGTGATAGTAGTACTAGGAAGGCAATTAAAAGAATACTTGTGTAGAAGCTTGTGTAGAATCGGAAGCTTTTATACTGCACTTTTAGAGAAGCCTGATGTATCCTTTCAGTCCAAAAAGGATTGATTTAACTGTCTTACTCTGGAATTGAAATGTTATATAATTTGAAAACAATTATATGCTTTTATAGTACTTAGCTGATACAAATATTGTGCAACTAATTTTTTTTCTTTTTCTGCTTAGTAGTTGTAACAACATAAATTTTCTGGCATGCTTATTACCTGGCAATTTTCATGACAATAATTTTGTTTCATTTAATACATAAATTTCATGTTTCATATGATTATAAGTGTAGAGCAACAAGGAAAACTGCTATGGGATGTGTGTAGTTCTATAAAGACTAATTCTTAAACACAGGTTTAGGAACTATAGATTCCTAGTTATCAGGTTGGCTATCAGCTTTTGGTGTGCCGTCACACCTAATGATCCCTTCTTTCCGATTCCTACTGTAAGAGCAAGAGTTGTACATTAATTACAGCAGCATATAAAAGTTGTATGTTAATTCCTGACTGAATTTTCAGTTACAACTGAAATCTCAGTTTTTACAACTCCAGAGTTTCCCTGCAGAGCTAAGACTTGAAAGCTGCATGACCCAGGAGGACAGCATCTTAACAGCCAGAGTTTTGGAATCTGTGGGCGAATTTAGAGATTAGGATTAAGCCCAAAATAAAATACTGGAAATGCCTTCCTTTGTAACAGTCATCTCTCCTTGCATTTTTAGTATGTATGTTTTAAATGAGTATGTTCAACAGAGTTGAACTTTTAAGAAAACTTGGGTTAAAAATACAGTCACAATACAGTCATAAAAACCTGATCTTTCCTGGAGTGCCTGATCCATCTGTGACTGACAGGTGACTTCTGAGCCAGCTGAGTGTTGTTAAGTGCTTCCAATCTGATAGCAGATGGTGCAATCAATGAAGGCCACTTGGGTCTTCAACAAAGCTACTGTTGTTAACTGAATGAATGTGAAAGCTCTTTTGCTGAACAGTGCCGTTTGAGTAATAGAAATTTAGTGCACATACTCTGTTGAAATTGTGCCATATTTAGCTCTGTAAAAACAGGAGTGTCTATATGATGTAACCAACTCTCTTAATTCTGTGGCTATGCTTGTGCAGATAGAGTTGTTTCCCGTGTTCTTGTCAAGCCTGGGAGATGGCAGAACTGACCCCGTCTCCCTCAGGCTCCTGAGATATTTCTGCGGCTTCGGCTCTGTGAGCTGCTGATTTTTTCTGCTGTACAGTATACTGTAGCCACAAGAGGGCAGAGATACCTAACATTGTGCATAGTCACCCGTCACAGTACACTACACTCAATGTAAAGTATGCTGGTAGCCGTGTCTTAGTTCAGCTCTGTTGGAGACTTCGCAGCATGTAGTTAGATTAAGTATGATGGTGCATGCTCTTGGTGTGAATGTAATTGAATTAATCTTTAATTGTTACCTGTACCTGTGGTAATGAATCATGGTAATTATATAGGTATAAAATGTAATTCTTTTTTGTATTTGTGTTATTTTCTACTTACATGTTTAAAGACTAGCATATTCTCATTACAGTAAGGCAGGGAAACACCTCTGGGTTTCCTAAGTCGGTTTGTTATGCATAACTGCTTTACAGGGTGTTAAGAGTGTTGACCTAAAGCTACAGATTAGGTCTTGCTCCTCTTCTGGCTGGTTTTCTATTTGTACATTTGCAGCTTCAACTTTCTTGGCAAGGGGGAGGTGTTCTCCTAATAGTTCATTATATGTTTATTGTTTCTCCCTGTCATTGTACTGAATAAGTAATAACCAATGATTAGTAAACGCTCACTTAGAATGCTAATGAATATTTGAGAAAGAACTATCTCATAAAAAGGAAAAGCTTTCAAACTAATAGGATGGCGTTACAGACAATTACTTATGGTTTGATGATTGCATGGTGGATTTAAGAGTTTTGCTCCAGTTTGTAGCTCTGGATTCTGTTCTGACTTTTCTATTAATTTAGAGTGTGCACTTGGACAAGTCACTTAATTGTTTTTAATCTTCATTATGTTACCTATGAAATTTTACAGTGCTGCCCAGGTTTATTAAATAATCTAGTGTCTACCATGGAATGTTTCGCCATAGGAAATTGTTGAGCCTAAAACATAACAAGATTTTAAAAGGAGTGAGGCAGTTGTGTGGGAAGCAGAAACACCCAGGGATGAAGTAGTTACTGATAAAGTAAGAAAATTTTGTTAAATTTGTTTTAAGGTTTAAGCCCATCTCTGGCTGTAGGGAATTGGAAGGATTGTACATGGAAAACCAGCAACCCTACAGCTTCATGATACAGGAACTTTCTCTGAAGCATTCATTGTTTGTCACTAGCTACATGATCATATTCTTGCATTGATTTGTAATGCAACACCTTGTGATGGATGTGTCTCAAACTTGAACTGAAACAAGAAGGTTTCTGAGGTAATAAGAAAGGCAGTGCTAACATCAAAAATGATGAACTATACAGCTAAAAGATTCATGTGTTGGTACTCAGTAAACAAAAAGAGGTGAATTATGATTTTCCTCCTTTGCTCTTTGATCAGTGCTGCTTTTCAGTCTGATGTAGTAATTGACACTTTTTCTTTCAGTGGTCCTTAGCTATTGTAAATGACACTGGTTTTACTCTATACTAAATAGTCTATGCAAATACTTTTATTTTTCCTTCTGGATCTTGTAATTTAGTAAATGATCTGTGCATTGAAAATGTTACTACTTTTTTTTTTCTTTCTGGCACTGTCAGCGTGCACAAGATGGGGACTAATGGTGGTGGAGCTGTTTGCTTTTTTCTTTCTGGAAAGACAAGCAGGCTTATTCATGTGTCAACAATGTGCCCTGGCAGCCAAAAGGGCCAACTGTGTCCTGGGGGGCATCAAGCACAGCATAGCCAGCTGGTTGAGGGAGGTGATTGTCCCATTCTACACTGCACTGGTGCGGCCCCACCTCAAGTACCGTCTGCAGGTTTGGGCACCTCAATATAAGAAGGACATCAAATATTAGAGTGTGTCCAGAGGAGGGCGACCAAGATGGTGAAAGGCCTTGAGAGCAAGACTTAGGAGGAGTGGCTGAGGTCACTTGGCTTCTTCAGCTTGGAGAAGAGAAGGCTGAGGGGTGACCTCATCGCAGTCTACAACCTCCTCAAGGGGGGCAGCGGAGAGGGAGGTGTTGATCTCCTCTCTCTGGTGACCAGCAACAGGACACGAGGAAATGGAATGGAGCTGCGCCAGGAAGCTTGGACAGCGCCTTCAGATTGGACATTAGGAAACGGTTCTTCACTGAGAGGGTGGTTGGTCACTGGAACAGGCTCCCCAGGGAAGTGGTCACGGCACCAGGCCTGTCAGAGTTCAAGGAGCGTGTGGACGATGCTCTTCGTCATAGGGTTCAGTTTTAGGTAGTCCCGTGAGGAGCAGGGAGTTGGATTCGATGATCCTTATGGGTCCCTTCCAAGTCGAGATATTCTATGATTCTATGTGTTCTTTATACACAGTCCATACTAGGATGTTTTTCCATTTCTGTTTTAGGTGCCTTATCAGGAGCCAGAGAAAGCTGGGAGTACGATTCAGGAGCAAGAGACCTTCAGAGTCCAGACCTCCAGAGTCATTTTACATTACAAAAGATGTTGGAATGTGGTGGAAGCAATGTGACTCAACAGGCTGCTCTGCAGAGACTTCTAGCTCAGGCCTCAAATTTTAGCAACTCTGTTGGAGGAAGCTACTTAGAACTTGCCAACACTGTAAGTGTGTTTTGCCTCTGCTTTTAAGCTTTGTAGAAATTTTTTCTTGTTTTTCTCCAAAGAAGCATATTAATTCCAGCCTTAGAGCCTTTGAGCCTTCATGGAAATAATGCCACACTGCTGTTGCCTTTCATTTACCAGAAAACCAATGTGATTTTTAGCAGTTGGTAGGTGTATAGTATTTCCAAAGCTCATATAACTGAGTTCCATCAAAAAGGGTAGGAGTCCATGAGGAACCAAACTGAAGTTCTTAATTTATACAATTTAACCGAAGAAGAGTTGTGTCTGAAAACTTCCTACTAATTAATTTAAGTATGGTGTCAGATTGTTCAGAAGTGTTGGGCAGAAAAATTCTTCCGATGTTATTTCATTGCTGCCCACTAAATTGTTTATAATTGTTTTAAATGCTTGGTGTGCTAGCACTGTGCTTTTTTATTTCTACAGGCAAGTTTTCTCTCTTGTAAAAAACCACCTAACTGTTGAACGAATAGGGCATTATTTTTTGCTTCCTCATCAGTGTGTTGGCATCATGCTCGTGTTTCAATTTTAAGCCAGGTGTGTTATAAAAGACCACCCATTTTGTAGCATGTTTCTGATTTATGTTGCATGGGAGTTTAAGTGGAGAAGTAAAAGATGCTAAAATGAAAGCAAAAAGTTTCTCATTTTTAAAATGACTGCTTATTGGCGTGCTTGACTTTGATGAAATAGACTCCTCGTTCATAGTATCATAGGATAATTCAAGGTGTAAGAGAACCTCAGGAAGTCATCTAGTCCAACATCCTGCTCAAAACTTAATGTCTAATGGAAGTGATTGCTGGCAACAGAGGAAAATCAACTTCTTTAAGCTACTTTATTTGAAAAGAAAATGATGAAAAATATTCTGTTTTTAAAAGTGTTTTTTAAGTTTTTAAGTGTTTTTAAAACATTTCTAAGTTTTATTGAAGTTCCTGAACATGATCTGATATAGCTGTGCAAAAAGAGTGGTTTGCATACTTTTGTTTCTGGATTAGGAACTGTGAATGCTGTGTCCTTTTTGCATCTGGAATTCATTCAGGTTTCAAGGTGGGTATGTACGTCCTCTTTCTATGCTCCTAACTGATGATGGTTCAGAAGTGATGGGCTTTGGCAATCTGTTGTATATTTGCAAATATGAAGACACAGGTGTGCAGTGTTATTGAAGAATGCACAGTGTGAAGGCTACTGCATTGCTATGACATGTAGAAATCTTAAAAATAAAAATGCTGAAGGATCATAAGAAATAAAGATCCCCAGGTATTATGGCTTTCTTTTTATTCCCACCTCTAAATTCCTTCTATGCTTCCTCTCATGAAAGAGGCCTGATCTTTGTTTTAACAAGCATCTGTTATACTTCTGCTACTAAATATTCTTCCTATGTTCTTTCAAACCAAAGTAGAATCAGCAGTTTCTCATTTATATGTAGATGAATATAATAATATCTCCATTTAAGTCCTGCTGAGCACTGGTGTCATGGGTCATATGTAATTTTTTTTTTGGCTTTATTAAAATGGAGAGAGAAGGGAATGGGAGAAAATTGAGAGAATGGTTTACTTTGGTTTTCACTATTTACATTTTTTTTACACAGTTTTTAATACTGAGGGGCATGCTTACGGCGGTCTAAATTTAGACTCTCTAAAGAGATAAACATAGCCCTCTTAGAGCTGTGATTTGATATGGGTACTTCCTTCTCTGTCTCTTTCTCAGACTGTTTTACCTAACTGCATTTGCCACAATGACAAGCCAAGCTGCTCCTTTGCATTTATTTGCAGAAATGACAGATCTCAGCTTTCACATTTTTATGGGCTGAATCCATGGAACTTTTGCATTTTTACACAAGGAACTGGGCAGACTACTTTGTACTGTAACCAGGATTACTTCAAAAAAGCTGACGGAGATTTAATACCTGCATTTCTCCCCTTCAGGAGTTGATTGTATTTCTTTTTGTAAAGTCGTGGAGTAAAAGGACAAAGATTTAAAAACAGACTCTATGTGGATATTTCTCTCTGGAACTCTAAATGCTCCTCGGGTTAACCGGAGAGGTTTATCTTCTTCAGAACGCTTGCGAAAAAACAGAGCAGAGCCTTTCTGTGTCATCCTGCTCCCAGAGGAACAGTTCCTGGCAGATTCTCCTAAATGCATCTACACAGGCCATTTGCACACACTCTTGAAAGCAATGTTTTTTACATTTCGTTGTAGATGTTTAGACTTTAGACTCAGAGGTCTAACGAAGTAACTATTGTATGGGTGAACATAAATCAGTTAGGTGCTTTCTGGTTAGAAGTTGTGTGACTCAGCATCTTGAAGTGCTTTTCCCTATTGGAGTGTCAATTCTTCTACTTGATTTCCTGTTTTTCTTTCTGACAGCCTTTTGATTTTAAACTGTGCAGTCAGGCTAAAGACATCTCTGTGGTGATTATGTGCTTCTACAGCATAGATTTTGCGCCTCAGTCAATACAGAGACTCTCCACGCTGCCCTTAACATTTAAGTTTTCCATTTGCGAAAGCTAAATGAACATCAGTCCACTATCAATTTGCTTAGTTTTTATAAAGTGAATTTTTAAATGCATTTTTTAAATCCTGTGAACGTACAGTTCTACAGAGCTTCATAAAAACATAATACCTGCTCTGAAGCATTATTCCTATTCCTTCACAGGAGCGATACAATTTTTTAAAAAGTGCTGTTTAAAATTTAACCATTCATGTTCATTGCATATGTTTTTGTCTGTTCATTTCACATCTTTTTGCTATGTTTTGGTTTATTAACACATGTTCAGATTCAGCTTTTGTTTTACCTGAATAATTTATTCTGTAGTCTTTATAGACTGTGTAACTCTTTCAGCCTTTTTCAGAGTCGCATTTTTACACCTAAATATTAAGAATACATTTCTCTTTATAGCTCTTCACCCTGGTACCAATATTTATGACTAACATATTAACCTTTAATGTGACCTGGCACCACTTACTGATGATGTGCCTGTTCATGCCAGTAGGTTAAATACCACAGCAAATATCGCTGATGGGAACCCTTGTACATGTTCCAAATGTAATAATTTATGAGCTTGGTTTGTATTGCATTGGGATGTAGATAATTTAAATATTCTTCATGGGTAGAAAGGAATTCAAGCATTTCAAAGGATTTCTTTGTGCGTGTGCGTGTTTGGGAGCTGTTTTTTATTTGTACTTGAAACTTCAAAGTTGGACAAGAATCGCTAATGTGGGTAGTCATACGGTGTCACATTTGTTCACTTCCCAGGCAGCCATGCGACGTGTTCCCTGTGGTGCTACCGGGAGGGATAGCACTCTGTTGTAGGACCTGAAGAATTGCTGTTCTCCAAAAACATCACACAGGGCAGCATCTCAATATGATAGGCATATTTCACATTAGAGTTCCAGTGAAGTTTAATAAGCTCAAGCAGTAAGATTTGGATATGTTTAATTCCCTTTTCATATTCTCCTTGCACGTGATTAAAATAGACTAGATCGACTTGATTTTTTTTTTAGTAGAATGTGTGCATATGAATGCTAATACATGTTTGTGTGCTTACTTTTAGTTTCTGTTGCCTTAGTTCAGTGTTGTTTTAAGATGAATGCATTTGTTGTCACAAGTAGCTACATTTACATAAATAAAACCAATTGGGATTGTTTCATTTGCCATGATGATATGATCTCATACCTCTGTTCTTTTAGCTGTAAATACCTCTGGTTTGCTGAGAAACTCTCTGCACAAAGATCTTACATTTTTAAAATGTGACCCCAAGTATGTTGATATATGGTTTTTTTTAACTGTCTGGTCCCTGGACTGGTGTGATCCAGGATCCTTTAATCTCCGATTTTTCCTTCCAAAGACACTGCAGCTGTGTTGGAAGCTCTTTGACTACACCTTCCTTGCCAGAGCTCTTTTGGTTGAAAACATTTAGAAAGATTTGATGAGGGTATGGTTGACTTGCAGAGGGGAACAGTACAGCTATATTTTTGAGAATAGAGTGTGGTAGGATTTCTTCATGACCACTTGCTTTTAGAAGCCCGTCTTGCTATTTCCTCCTCAAAGCAGCCGTGCAAGTGCCACAGATGTGGTTGTTCTTACCAACTCAGCGAGAAGGCCATATTTACAGAGCTGCCAGCGTTGCTTCCTGCAGCATCTCGTTCTGGCCAACAACTAAGCAGGCATAATCCCCCTTTATCTTGTGTAGGGCTGTCAAGGCAAGATGGATGTGTCTAGGTAGGAGGGCATTGGCACAGATTGCTTCACCTGCCAAATCTGCACTTACTTCTCATCTTAAGGGGAGCTGGTTTTGGAATGTCTCCATCAAGAACAAAACAGAAAGCTAATGCAGCAAGATTCTTAATGTGTCTTCTTGTAACTACTCTGGTATATGCTCTTCCTCAGCTATTCCTGTCCAATGCATGTGTGCGTACCTCATTTGGAGGTACTAAAGATTTTGTTGAGCTTGGGAATGCACCGTTTTGATCATGCATCTGTGTGACAGGGTGTGTTTTCTGTACAGCAGAATTAAGGTGACTAAACCAAGTTTAGTTCTGACTGTGGACTCAGTGCCAAATGCAGATAACATTTCTGTTGGGTACACAACCCAAAAGTTTATAAAGTACAAAGGCATACTGGAAATATTCATAGCAAAGCAATATGTAGTTGTATTAGCATTAGTTTCTCAGCATGATCACTAGCAGATGAGAACTTAATGTTTTTGTCTTAGAAGTATCATGTTCTCTGAAAATAGATATTCTTACTGCAATACCTCTTTGTTAGTCAGAGTCAGTCAATGTTTGTGTTGCTAATTTTTCCTCCTTAAGACCATTAAGCTGTTAGTTATGATAGACAGAACCATTGTTTTGAGAAAGCTCTTCTTTTTAGTTGACATAGTTTATACTGAGTGATAATATTCCAAAAGCCACTATTACATTTTCAGGGACAGGTGGCTTTTCCTTTCCCACCTCATGATCTGCTCCATAATCAGGCAAACCTAACTTGCTGTGGCCTATTTATATGAATAGCTTTTGGATATAAAACAGCACACTTAATATTATCGCTGTGTTTACATTTATGTCAGACTGTAGTGCAGCTGGTTCTGGATAACTGCTTGAAAAAGCATTAATGGGCTGTTTCATCCTGAGTCACAATAACCGTTTGTGTGCTCCGAGGTGCATGTAAATGTAAATTAAGTGATCTGCATGTAAATTCTGTACTGCTGTCACGTTATGGAGCATATAATGATTTCTTGCAATGCCTTGATGTTATAAAATGTGCTTAGTACTTTAGCAAGAGAATATTATAGAGATGCTTGGTATGTTGCATATATTCACATACGTCATTCTGTGATGAAATTCAAAATGCTAAATTTAATCTCTTTGTCCAGCCCTGTCTCCAGCACTTCAGACCATTTGTCAATACATCAATTATTCTGTTACTTCCTACCTTACCTCCCAGTTTGGCTGTAAGACAGCCAGCTGATATTTGCTGTGTTACTAGCAGGGGATGTGCCTATGTAACCAACAGTCTTTCCTTACAAAGACTGATATGATCAGATTATCCACTGATAACAGATGTCTGCTTGTCCATCTTATGTATATAAGTTTTTATTTGGCATAAGTCACTGTAATGTTAGCAAGTTTAGAGAGTAAAAATCATACTGCTTAAAATCCCCATACCACTCACCATCCCAAAAAGCTTTAAGCCTCATATGTGTACTGTAATTTTTTTAAGCTACATTTTTGGCTCATTTTAACTAAGCTAGTAAATGTGGATTTTAAAATTGACTCCTTAAAAACAGGAAGGATCGTCTGGTTGCCAAAGAAAGCAAAAATACTTTTGTAGGGGATGGGGAAAAAAGGGCTTCATAGAGATTTGTAGCAGTCTAGGTATCCTCTTACAGCTATCCTAAATATGAACCATTTTCTCTATTGTTTAATTTATAGCCATCAGCTGTAAATTAAATGTGAGTTTTATTGAAATCACACAGGTATTTCTTTTGGGAAATTATCTTTTAAGGGAAAGTATCAAGGAAGTCTGAAAACAGAACTGTACTGTGAAAGGTAATTCCATGGTTGGTTTGTAGGCTACTTTTGTTTGGTGTCCCTCTTAATGAAAACCTACTGTAAAGTGTCTCATTTAATTTCTAAAGTTTTTGTGGTTTTATAACTCAGTAATATTGGTATGTCCTTTTCTGGCAAAGTCTGCCCCTTTTTCTTCTCCCACCTCTCTCCAAATCTTCTCTGTTTTTAAATTAAGCCTGTTTGTTCCTTGGTTTGGGAAGCTCTGCTCCTTCAGCTTCCCCACCCCTTCCCTTACAGACAGGGAAAGCTGACCCCAAAGCATCAGGTATCCCATGCTCTCAAGGCACATTTTTTGGATGGGAGAGAGTAATGCCTTTCTAGTCCCTCTGCATAAGGCTAGTGTAGATAAGAAACACTTAGATTCTGTGTATTTCAAATAATTTATTCAGTGCTATAGCCACTTTGTAGGATATGTCAGAATTCAGTTACCTGTGCACGGATTGATTTTTCCTAAGTTATTTCACTGGGGAGTCTGTTCTGTATTTGGGAACCAGTACACACTGTTACAGTAAACTGCAGGAGCCAGGTCTCTTCCTCTCCTCCCCTTGCAGCCATTTGTTTTCCATGTCCTACATGCAATTTGTATTACAATTTCTTTTTAATGCCAATAAAAGCTATTACTGTAAAAATGTAGCCTAAAGATTCCTCTCTAGTAGGCAGGAAGACCTGAAGTTGAAGAAGATTCTGGTGGTGTGGACAGTAGAGCCTACTCTTTATAAAGATTTGTGCCCAAGATAACCATGCCTTTTGTGCCTTTGCTTCCAAACTAGGCATTGTTCCCATTCTGCCAGGCTAAAAATAGAATCCGAGAATTCCATTAATGCAAGAACTGATTATTGGAATATAGATTCAGGAGGCTTGGCTTGTCAGAAAGCAGGCACAAAGGCAGTTTTGTCTGACAGACATTTTTTATGTCTGGGGATGTGGGAGGCTGTTTGGTGTTTGATTTCAAGCCAGCATTGCAATGGAGTTTGTCTGAAGCAGGCATCAGGTGTAATAGGATTATGCATTGTGTTTATCCAGTCCTGGCTTCCACAGCCCTCTAATAGTGCTCACTTATTCATTTTTCTCGTATAAGTTAAAATGGACATTATAGATTAGGTCTGCCAGGACTCATCTATTTCATACAAAATGTAGTTTTTCTGTCTTTTGAACTTATTGGATCATAACAGACATAGAGGTAAGAGGCAAATTATAAACTTTCTTGAAAATTCCCTTCAGTAGCATATTCACTTAATTTCTTTCTCCATGATAGATGATTACACTGTAGCCCCTTTCTAACAACTCTGTGCTGAGCTGGTTTTTGTTTTTGTTTTGTTTTGTTTTTTTAATTCTGTTCCTGTTTCCATCTGCAAATGATCACAGCTCAACATGATGGGTGTCAGCACAGGGCACATTTGTTCAGGCAGCCTTTTAATAGCTCCTTTTGACTGAGGCTTTTAATTGGATCTTTTATGTGACTGTTGAACAATACCTCTTACAAGCATATAACGAAGGTGAAGTCCGCAGAATGATGGGTTTTGACCCAGCTCTGCGGTTGCAATTGGATGATGGGAACAGGCGTGTGGCAATTGGATGCTGTAGAAAAGGGGGCTCTTAACAAGTGTGTGTAAGTAGATGTTTTGAAGGTCTACAGACGAAGCTTCAAAATCTCTAATTTAACTTAGTCACAAGGGCTTTGTATCTTTCACCCCCTCACTGCTTAGAAACTGTCTTTATGCATCCCATTTTGTTTGCTGTAGTTAAGAGGGCTCTGGCTCCAGTGAAGGTGTTCAGATCTTTTTACTTTTCCAAACGTTTTTTTTCTTTTCAGTTGTCTGAAATGAAGAGCAATTAACCTGGTACATTGGGCCAGCACCACTGCACACTGTGGTGTGGTGTACAGTATTAATATTATTAATATAGTATTATATTATAGTATTAATATTATTGCTTTGCTTGGCAGTGGTAAGTTTAGCCTGAGGCCCAGGATTAGCCTGTTGAAGCAACATTAACTTCCCGGATTCTGGTATGCCAGAAAGATTACCGTGTAGCTCTTGTAGCAGGGTCTTCTGTCTTCCCAGCTTTTCTGCCTGTTCTCTGAGCGTGAACTACTGACATGACGCAGTTGCAGTTCGCAGTGCTGACCTTCTGTGAATCCTCATTTATTAAAAAGATGAGGAGACTTATTCCCCTTCCCCTTCTACACACATACTAAACCCTTATGTTTTGGTTACATGATATATAGGAATTTTGATAATAAAGTGAAAATCTT